GGCAGCACTTAGGGGTTGGCCACCTGAAATCATGAGCTTCCAAAGGGTCGTGCGACATTGCAGCAAGCTTGCAGCGCCTCAATGCTTGTTGTGAAGCGATCCTGAAATCTCATGATGATCCTCGCAGACCATAACAATACTTTGCCTCGACCAACTACAGACCGCAAGCTGCAACTCCTCAATGTCGATGAAGAATCACTGCGGCGCTGCTGCGGAGCTCCTATTGAGGGATAAGGCTTTCACAATGCGAGGTACTTCGAGATCATGTTCTTGTCCTTTGCCGCCTCTGTGGCCATGGTGTTGAGCCTGGCGCTGGCTTTGGTCTTCTCCGCGGCCTCAACACCATCTCCAGACCACCACGATCACCGCAACCAGCACCGCCACCGACAATGGCAGAGCTACTGACCACCGCAGATAAGCTCTTGTGATGCTGGGGCAGGTCTCAACAGCCTTGCTCTCGCTGACTTCGAGACTGGCCAGGCCGCCGGAAGCGCTCCCTTGACAGCGGACCTCTTGCGACAGCAGTACCCTCGCACGATGGGCGCGCCTAGACAGCAACACCATCGAGCAGCCTTTGCGCAACATGGCCTCCTCCCTCGCGAGCCGCATGACCCCCTGGAGCCTTGCCATCGAAGACGGAGGTGTCTGCTCGACGACTTTGTCGCATCCCCGAAGGCATCCCCACAGCGCCCGACAACTGTCTATACCGGCGGCGACGACAGGGTAACGCAATGAAGTGGCTTGACGGAGACCTTCAGGCAATTCGCAGAGAGGAACGTGTGGGTATGGGGCGGCCGCCTTTACCTCCCCTCGGGGGCTGCGCCTGGAAACATCCTGAGATCAACGAGCGGGCATCAAGCGATGCAGGAACAGCAAGCTCGGGAACCGTCTTCTCTGCTTCCGCTGCAGTGCTTAGAGACTCAGACGATTGTCCTTCTCCTCATATCGCAGCGCCTCTCCGAGCAAGAAACACCCGAAGCCCGAGTCGCCAGTAGCGCCCCACCAACATGTCTGCACGGACAACGAAGCAGCGCCTTGAACAATGAATCATCAAAGATCTTGCGATGCAACGGACTTTCGCCTTCGCAGCTCATCGAAGGGAGCCAGACTACACGACAGACCCTCGACCGATCGGCTCTGACGAAGCGACATGGCTACAACGACCACAATGTTGAGTCTTAACATTGAGACATAAACCGGTTGAGGAATACAGAGCGCTGAGATGGTCTCGAGGACATCGCCCATGAACGACTGGGACGAGGGTAGACGGCCAAGCCAAGCTCTCGAGGATACCGGCCATCTATCTGCTCTGACCTGGACGGAATACACAAGCGACGGCGGATGCTAAGCATGACTGGCGACGGACCGAATGATTCCGAGTACAAGATACCCTCAGCCCGCGGCGACACATCTCCACTTCGAGCTTGGGCAGCGTCGCGCTGCCTGCCTATGAACATCACCCAGGCGTACAAGGTTGGGCAAATCTGAGTGGACTCGACACAACCGGCCTCGATAAAAGGCCACACGATGGAGTTTTCGTTGAAGTTTGTCGATGATGTTTGCTCTATCCTCCGGACCTGCGTTACAGCGGAACTTGGCGCAATTCCATACTGGGCTTGAGAATGAAGGCCCCTGTCGGTCGGCCTGTCCTGGAACATTTCGCTGTCGACCCCAACGTCCCGTCGACGTTGATGACCCGTGTTCATCCATCTCTTGCTTGACATGGTATCTCTGGCGAAAGATGAAAGGACATTACTTCACAATGATCTATCATCCATGACGAAGATTGTCAACTCCTGTGTGTCTTGGGGACCATCTCCTTGCATGGACGCACTAGACCTCGCAAGTACCCTCGTTGGCGCTTGAGAGTGGGAAGACCGTTGTCATGCATGGCTGTGGACCATTATGACCGGGAAGGCACACATGGTTTATTGGCCATCTCGTCGACGACGAGATCCAGATACCAACTGTCATCGTCGGAAGGCTAAAAGACCTATCATCGAGACCAAGAACGCGAAGAATCTTCTCAGCTGATCAGTAGACGGGGCGATCCGACATTCCTGGATACCGGCGCTGAGAGAAGTTTGCAACCTTGGCGGACGTGTCATGCTGCTGTTGTACATAGCCGGTCCGATCAGATCCGACACAACACCAGACGTTGTTGCTAGCCTGAGCAGTCAAGCAGGTGGATGCTTGTTCTTGCAATGCCCGGGTTTTGAGACATCCTCCTGGTGTTCTTGCTGCTAGCCTCCTATTCTGACCTTGGTTCATCAACATCAAAACCCTGGGTCTACCGTGGCCGTCCGGAGGTATCTTGTTTGTCGTTATTCGCGGCAGTGCCGTTCGCGCGCGCTCTCGGCCGGCGGTCACAGCATTCGACCTCCGTTGCGGTACCAAGTGGAACAAGGGGACCTGTCGTACTGGGTGGGTGTCGATGCTCGACCCACGCAGTCTTGACGAGGGGCGCAGATCACAGATCGTACCGCCAGCTTCCCACTAAGGTACTGCGAGCTTCAGGTGTATCCCAGACTCCTTGTGGTAGTAGTGGATGCCGTCTTTGCATGGGGTGGGAGTTGTCGCGGCGCATGCGGTCTGAAGAGGCGGTACAGACATCGCGCGCTGAAGTCGCAAGTAAGAGACAACCAGCGCCGAGCCTGCCCGCATTACCACCGTGTCATGGTAAAGGTCGACCGTGATCCCAACTGAGGGGTGTACATCGAAAGCGAGCTCCTCGCCGTGTCGTCGGTAGTCCGCCGCGGGGGCAGACTCTTCGCTCGAGGCGTTGCAATGCGACCACGCATCGATGTTGCCATCACTGTCATCACCTGCTACCGATAGGATGAAGGTCCAGTCAAAAGTTGGTGGCGCGATCGATAGGCGGGGTGTGCATGCTGGTTCGCTCGCCGTGGTAGGGAGGAGGAGGTAGAGGCGAAGACGGGCAGCTGTATGTCAGACTCGCGAGAGCATTCTAGCCGCAAGTAAAGGAAGCTGCCATCATTCGCGGTCGCCGGAAACCAGCTCTCTTGACCTTGATCGCTGTGGTGGTGTCGCTGGTCGTGTCATGGTTGCGGAGATGCCTTCGGAGCTCTGTCCGCCGCCGCCATCGATGTCGCGGCTTCCGGCTGGTGCTGCAAATGAACTGGGCAGTCTCTTCAATGTCCAGGTCGCCTTTTCCAGGCCTCCTCTGCCTTGTATGATCGTCGTGGCGTTGGCGCGGAGAATGTAGAGTCCTGTGTCTGCGGCGGGCATCCGAACGAAGCTGCGGCGGCTCAAGGAGGGGCGGGAAATTGCTACCTCGAGCATCAAATCGACAATGTCGCGAAGGCGTGTCAGCAGAGTGCCGACTGCTCGTAGACGATGCTGTCGTTGCCGTGGAAGCGGTGGTGTGGATGTCGTTGGTGGGGGAGAAGTTGCGGCGGCGATGAGGGAAGCCACGAAGCTGTCGTTTAGCGGCGCCGCGAACATCGATGCGAATGAGCGAGCACTGCAAGACAGCAGAACACACTGGCTGCATGCATAGCAGAGGGCCAACGCGTGTCTCGTGAGAGCGCGATGAGCAAGACGGCGGCGGAGGAGGGAGGAGGGAGGAGGGAGCAGAGTCGCCCTTGCTCACCCCCGAGAAGGCCGTATTATGAGCATACGCTTGATGCATCTATAATCATCAGCGGCCGAACGTGGGCACTTCGCTCGCTTGTATGCTGCTGCCGCTGTGAGCGAAAGAACTGCTTGCGTGCAGTCTCCGCGTCGCCGCAAGACGTGGCAGCCTTGAATGTCTTCAGGAGGCGCGTGTGCATCTTCAACGCGAGCTGCAACACCGCGACGAGCGATCTCAAGCCTCAAACAGATGGATATTGATGCGATGATGATGAAAATGCCATCTCTAAGGCATGCAACGACGTCGAAAATGCACTGACGTAAACTTCGCCCTTCCCCGTTGAGGCATGGCTTCCGACATGATTCGCGCGCCATTTCGAACTTCATCCCATCTTTCTTCCTCCATCCTCATGGATTGCCATCAGCAGCAGCAGCACGACAAAGCACTCCAGGGACTCCGCATATTTTCTTATTTGTCTCTTCTGCTCAGCATGATGTTACTCTTAAGGAGATTGCCACGCACGGTCCGCACACATGGGATTTCGACCTCCAGCCCACCAAGCCTTTCACCACAACAATGCCCTGGATATATAAGTCTACTATTTTCCAGTTACTTCGCCTTCGGGCATCTCGCATTTTGTAACGATACAGAGAAGCTTAGCATGGCCTCTGCACTAAGGATGACACGCTCAAAGCAAAGAGAAGAAACCATTTTTTTGCAGTTTTTTTAGGCTCTAGAGTTCGATACCAGCGACCGACCTTTACGATCGCCGGGCGTATTGCAAATTTCTCTTTTTGGCAACTTGGCGACGCAGGTGTGCAAGGAGCGGTGCACTGCCGACTCAGTTTTCTGCCAAAGTCTAGACGATTCTCCAAGCACCTGAGGCCAACCCATTGGCATCGTAGAGCGGGCCACTTCTCGCTGATCTGGTACAGCTTGGATCCTACGATGGGATATTGGCAGTCCTGCGTTGGAGCATATGGCAGCCTCGCGTACTCCATGCATGTACTTGAAGCTCAATCCTGTAAGACTCAGGAGCTGAGGAATTAACATGTGTCTTCGCATCAAGAGCCGACAGTCACGGTACACGTCGTACGTGCCTGGAGAGTCTAAGAATATACGGGAACTACAATGCTGCTGCTACGTATGCGGCAAGCTCCCCTAGTCCTGTCGTTATGTTGTTGTTGTTGCTGCCCGAGGATATGTATGACGTGGTGGTCCCAGCGCGCACAAGGCCTTTGTTTGTATGCAGTTTCTCACCTTTCCCCAACGATAGCTTTGACCGCACACTCACATCCCCGCGCTCCCCAAAAATTCAGACTGTACAGACCTGCCACCACATCCTCTCATCTTTTCATACCACACACGCACACAGCGTCTATCAGCAAGTCGCAATTCATACACAATGTCACAAGCATCCTCCCTCCTTCCGCCCTGGGCAAGCCGCGAGTACTGGTTCCCGTCAGAGGGCGAGCGCGATCACTTCGCTTCGCAGTATGGAGAGTTCATCATCAAGATGCTGAAGAGCGAAAACTGGGACGAGTTTGACAGCAGGGACGCGGTCGTCCGCATGGCTAAGGCGTACATCAAGGAGATGTATGAGGATCCACACTACGACGTTCCCGCCCCCAGGGTATACGACCCCGCGACCTTGACCGAAGCCCATTTCGTCTTCTGGGCACATACCTCGTCAGGGAGACAGGAGGTCGAGGAGTGGAGAGACCTCCGAGGAATCGTCTACAAGGCCTTTGCAGCTCCCCGCTTCCTCCGCGAAATCCTCACCAGAGGTACTCGACTACACTCCGAGTGGTCGAGTGGAGGAGTCCGACTCACCGCCGCCCAGGATCTGGCGACAATAGTGCTGCGATCTGGGAGGGTCGTTTTCACGGAGAGGGACATTTCTGCCTGCATATGGCGGGGCTACCGAGTCCATGAAAGACAGGACACGTTCAACGAATGTGCCTTCAAAGTACAAGACAAGATCGACGAATATGTCTTGAAAGTACAAGACAATTTCGACCAGGACTTCCCTGTCACCGGGATGGATTTCTGTGGTGAAACACAATTCACCATGCGACCCGGACAGGAGAACAAGATCTTCGCCCCATGGTACGATCTTGGCCAGATCGGATACCACGACATCCCCGACTGGCCCGCAAATTCGAACATCGCTTCGCGATTGATGACCGACCTGCCCGCCGAGCTCATGCTCATCGTTCTTGAAAACCTCTTCAAGTTCGATCAAGACATCCACATTGTCTTCGACCACGACGAAGACGAATACATCTTCATTGTGGAGCGGGAGCAGCACCTGAAGGAGTTCCCGCATGGGCTCCAGGGTGTAGAGATGCCAATGGGCAATTTCTGGAAGCTACCATACTGTCACGAATTCTTCGCCTTTGGGGCGACTGGAGAGGCGAACCGCGCGATGATGATGGGTGTGTTCCACAGGAACAAGTTCATCGTACATGATGACTAGCCCTAGTCCGTGGGGACCTTCAAAGGTCAAACCGGGGGCGAGGGAGACGGTATAGGTATGCCGGGCGGATACGTGGGCTGGGGAGGGGGAGCGGTGTCGCTGTGGTGAGGATGGAGGACCTCCTGGGGGCTGTATGATAGTTTGAAATTTGACTTTTCATGTACGCCTGACGTATACCACTCTACTACTTCTACATGATATTGCTTACACGGGAACTCTCTGAGATACACCGGCCCAATACTTACACCTCTCCTCTAGCATGCTGATGCCACCTTGTCGTAGCCCACTCGCAGTGACCAAGAATTGCTTGCCCTCTTCCACATCCGGGACGCCGGGTATGCTCGAATTCGTCACCTTGTGCGCATTCGGATCGCCAGTCTGGATGAATGAACCCATGGCGCCAGCATAGCCTTGGTAAGTCAGAGCATCTGTTTGCTGGATTGAACCGATCGTGTTCCACTAGAGAAGTCAGTACCCTGCATCAATATGAAAGAGACAGTACAGATGGACTTACGTATTGCACATCACTCGCATGCTTAGCAGGCGAGATAGTGTACTCGATCAACCATCCCTTCTCTGCCTTCTTCGAAAGCCAATACGACGGACATGCCAGTACGAGGTCGCGGTACAACAAGCCAGCGCGGATATACGTCGAGTTCCAACTGATCTCCTCCGCTGTCCCCACGGCAGGATACATCCTCTTCACCTCCTCTCGATCCCCCTCCGTGAAGTCCGGCAGAAAACCCCTCAACCACCCATCAAACGACGCGACCGAAGAATTGAACCCATCACTCCCCGTCTTAGCATTCGCAAACCCAGGCGGAATAAAGTTCTCCCCCTCATGCAAATTATAACTCGTCAACACCATCTCCGCATTAAGCGCTCCCTTCTCCACCACACTACTCAACTCCTCCTCCAGAAACCCATCATCAATCACCGGCCCGTACGTAAAAGACGCAGTAGTATACTGCTGACTCGTACTGAGCTTTAACGCACTATCTCTCAATCTCTGCACATCCACCTCTTTCAAACACCTAATCTCATCTTCCACACCCGCACAGCCAACATCGCTCAGCGTCTGACTATACAGATCCTCCGCCCACACGCTGTCGTACCGGTACGTTTTAGGCCAGAACGGACTACTTGCCAACGCTTTCGTGAATAATCCCTTCCCTCGGTTCCCCGTCGCAATCGTCTGCGCAACTACACTGCCGCCGCCCGCCGACTGTCCCCAGATCGTCACGTTTCGTTTGTCGCCACCGAAATGGTGGATGTACTTCTGTATCCACTTCAACGCAGCCTGCTGGTCCAGTAAACCGGGGTTGAGATCGACGTCCGGATGTTCTGCTATTTTCGACCCTGGCAGGAAGCCGAAGACGTTGGTGCGGTAGTTGGAGTATACGACTATGTAGTCGTTGTTGTTAGAGACGTTTAGCACGGGGTAGCCTGAAGGCGGGATGCTGAAGCTCGCGCTGCCACGGATGAAGCCGCCGCCGTAGAAGGTTAGGAGGACGGGTCGCAGGTCTTGCTTTTTTGTCCAGGGGCGTGAGTAGAGGCCGAGGTAGAGGCAGTCTTCTGAACCGTTTACGGTGCGCTGCGGACACATGTCGAAGGCTTGGTCGGTGTCGTATGTGCCATTGGTGATGTGGAGCGGTGGTTGGGGTGCGCGGAATCGGTTTTCGCCTGCTGTGGATGCTGCGAAGGGGATTTTGCGGTAGTAGGTTAGGTTGTATGCGGAGGATGATGCGCCGCGGAAGGTACCATAGTCGAGATGGACGATGGGGTTAGATGCATTTTGATGGGGATACTGGGTTGGTGATGCAGAAACGGATGTGCCGCTTGCCACGAAGGCGAGGATCACAGAAGCGACGGACAGTAACATCGCAACCAATGTCTTTTAGCGAAACTCACGATCGAACAGGTGCGGTCGTATGTACATATACAGGATTGGAGATACCAGTCTAATGCCATATTAGCCCCTTCTCCGCAAATTACAGCAACTCAATCCCGGCGCCCGGATTGCGGGGACGGCTAAAACCAGGATAGCATGGAATGAACGTCAACAACAGTCGTCCATGAGTCGCGACATTCGGTGCATTTTGCGCCGAGCCTCTGTAGGGGAAATGGACTAGGCTCAACTTTGGAGATGTTCCGTATGACGTCGATCATGAGTTTCTCCGGCTGACGTGACTAGAGCGGATGTGGCATGGTGGAAGTCTCGACATCTAAGCAACACCATGTCCAAGAAGCAATGATTGAAGAGTATTGAAGAATGCATTGCCCAGGTGACGCTCAAGCTGTCTACTATCAACGCCGTCGTAACCCATAAAGCTAAGTCGTAACATCATAATGCCAACCATGCAAGGCACGCTTCACGTCTACTTCCTCTCGCCCTTCCTTCCGGTCTTCTTCAACCGTGCAGCAAGATCCATCATACCGTCCGCCCAGACAGACATTTCCCTTTCTTCTTTGATCTCGTTCCCACAGAAGTCGCGCAAGAACGCGCCCATCTTCTCCTCGCCGTATTTCTCACCGTAGACAACCTCCGCTCTCATATTGACGTCGGTCTCGATGCCCTCCTTGCCTAGACTAACGCCGACTTCAAATGTAGCCTTGACCTTTGTTTGAAGGGTTGGCAACAGCATGTTCGCGGAGATTGCCATGCGCTCGTCCGAGAGGATGAACTCTTCGGTGATATAGCTATGCTCAAGCCAGCGAACACCCTCTGCAACTGCAACAGCGGTGGCCCAGCCATTCTTGACAAGGGAAAGAAGCGAGGAAATTCGGGTCTGCGCCTGCGGGATACCATGAAGATGTGCGCGGATGAGCTGGAGGAAGAAGCGCTTGCTTGTTGTCAACGCACGAGGATGTGGTGTTGCTGAATCACCGATGTAGGCAAGCGAGATGGATCCGTTGGGTGTGTTGGAGCCGGTGGCGAAGGCAGAAGGTACGAAGTAAAGTTCGAGGTCGTTCATGTGTGTCATTGTGATGCTGTTCGAGGAAGCGGACGTTATGCTCCATCCGTGGGCTTGTTCAAGGGCAGTGAGTTTGGCTAGTGTGCTGTTAGTGTAGTTCGCGTTCATAGAATGAGCATTACATACCTCTCAGACTGCTGACTTCGCTTGTAGACCAGCCGCGGCACTCTTCTCGTACACGTTCCGCTGCTTTGATCTCTTGGATGCATTCGACTTTGCGGTCTTTAGCTGCCTCGATGCGTGTCTCCTTGTCGACAAGCTCTTGTTGCAGCTGGGCAAGAAGCAACTTCTTCTCTTCCAACTCGGCATCGGTAGCAGTAAGCTTCTCTCTCGTCTGCTCAAGCTCTTCCCGGTCACAGCTGTTGAGTTCATCATGACGCTGCTGTAGTTGCTTACACTCAGTGGACAGACGTTCCTTCTTCTCAACTAGAGGAGGCAATGTCTCGTCAAGAAGGCGCTCCTGTTTGATCAGTGTGGATTCGTCATGGTTGAAACCGTCCATGGTGTGGAGGAGACCAGCTTTGAGATCGTGCAGCAGCGTGCTTCGCCATGTATACCACTCTCCACGAGCCTCGAGGCGCGCGTTGGTCTTGAGGTTCTTGAACTGGTTGTCCATGACAGCGCGCTGGTCCGGGGGTGCAGTGAGGTACTCGCTGAAGAGCAATGGGTTCTCTTCTAGTACGTTGGCCTCCATAGTACGGACAAAGTGGCGACCGTCTGAGATGTACTTCTTCATCTCGTGGCATGCATGCTGGTACAGCTCGTACTCAGGCAAGGTGCACGCTCCAGCCACAACGTAGCGATCTAGAGATTCCTCCTTCTCCTCTACTTCCACATCATGGAAAGCGGAAGGAGCAGCAGTATGGCGTCGCTTGGTCGTACTAAGATCCATGAAGCGAATCTTGGTCATGTCGAGGAAGTCTTGCAACGAGATTCGCTCAACATCCGACATATCTTCTGCCACACCACCCTCGTCGTTATTCTCCTGCTCTGGCTCTTCACCAAAAGCGACTCGCTTCATTGGGCTCATGCTTTGCCTGAGAGTCGCTTTCTTGGGTGTCGGAGTTGGCTGCTTCGGAGTTGGCTGCTTTTGAGGAGTCTGTGACTTCTTCGGCGTCATCCCCTTCTTCACTGGTGACATTAATGTCTGTTTTCGTGGGGTAGATAACAGCTTGATGCTGTTGCTCAAAAGCGCGGTGCTCTTGAGTGTAGGCTCCTGACGTGGTGCATTCAGAGGACTGAACTGTACTGCAGACAGTGACGAACGTCGTCGGTCAAGTATTGTAGCTGCAATCGGGTCCTCGGGAATCATCATGGGTGTCCTCTGCGGCGTAGGGTTTGAAGGAGTCGCAACAGCTTCCTTCTCTTTGGTCGCACTCAGCGGAGTCCGGCGCACAAAAGGCGAAGGCTCGACCTCCTCAATATCCTTCTGCCTGACAATCTCTGGTGTACCAGGGTCAAGGGTGGGATAGGCCACATCCCCTGTCGTACTTGGAGTGATGTCTTGCAGGACCTGAGACGCTGATTCGGCCTCGGCCCTCAGAATGGAGCTCCTTCGTCCAGGCGACTTCTTTGGAGACTTCCGCGGTGTCGGTGTCTTGGTTACTGAAGCGGGTGTGTCGTCTACGGGTGTTTGTGGTGTCGTTGTTGAGCTGCCAGCACGCCTAATACCAGGTCCAACGATTTTTGTGAACTCCATGGAAAGGTCTTCATCTTCGACCTCATTCTCCTGGTCTTCCTGTGCTTGTTGCTTACCATTCTTAATGCTGCCCACAGCCAGTGTGAAGTCCATCGTCGCATCATCAACGTCGCTTCCAACACTGGCACGTCTAGCTGGCTCCGGCTGTGGCGCTTTCTTAATCGCTCCAATTGCCATTGTGAGGTCCATGGTCGCATCTTCTTCGCCGTGCTCTTCGGATTGTCGACGCTGTCGCAAACTGGTACGCCGGCTTGCAGTGCGCTTTGCAGGGCTACCTTGGTTTTCATCGAGCAATGAGACCCTCCTCTTAAGACTCTTCCTCCTGTTTGCTGGTTTGTAAGATGCCGCCATCGCCTGTATGCTTCCAAGTGGCATGGTAAGGTCCATGGTCATGTCGTCGTCGTCGACATCTGAGCTCGCTGCGTCTGAGCGTTGTTGTTGCTGTTGCTCCGGCTGCTTTTGTTGTGGTGGTGGGGGTACGATGCGGCCTACTGCGCGCGTGATGTCCATACTCATGTCGTCGTCCTCGCCGGCTACGGTGCGTGCTGGGGAGAAAAGAGGGCTTGCATTCTCCTTGTCATATTGTGCGACGAAGCTCTTCTTTGCCCAGGGCTTGAAAGATGCAGTGACTTCGTCTTGGGCGATCTCCATGCTCATGTCTCCGTCATCGTCGTCGAAATCCAGCTTCTGAGTGCCTGCCAAGTTTGCAGCCTCGCGTAGCGCAGCGTCCAGTCGAGCGCTGCTCTGCGATGAGTCCTCAACATCAGGTGAAGCTCCAAGACTTTCTGTGGCATCATCGATATCCATATCCTCAGAGTCGCTGCTTCCGACATCGTTTCCACCAGGCGAAGCATTGTCCCCGCTTAGCGGGCTTGAGGAGTAGACGTCGTCGGGGTTATTGAAGTTCATCGGCGGTATGCCTGAGCTCCGGCGGTTCTTCTTTTGGTGTTGCGCGCGCTGGCTTTCAGGCGACGAACTGGGCTCTGGTTGAGGCTCTTCGGCTTGTTCTGGTGGTGTAGACGGTGGCTCGGCGGGGTCCGATGGAGGGGCAAGCGATGCCGGTGTGGATGCTTGTGAGACGTTCGAGGCTCTGCGTGTGGCCTCCGATGAGGCGGACGAGGTAGTCGCATCGCGCATGTACTCGACTACGTCCCATGTGTGTAGAGTGGCTTCCGGGGCGAAAGACACGCGTCGCCTTGCTAAGCATGTGTTAGTCAAGCCTACAGGTTGATTTTACGCTCGAAACACGTACCCAGCGACTTGCGGCGCGCTTCGCGCCGCTTCTTCTCATCTTCATCGTTTGAGGCTAGAATGGACTTGACGGCGGGGATAAACGCAGACTATTTGGTCAGCATTCACTTATACAATCGCGTGTACGAAGCATACCTTTCTGCGGTTTCCAAAACTCTCCTTCAGCGGAGGCGCCTCCAATTCCCCCAGACCTCCAGGGCCGATACTCTTACTACGCGTCTTTTTCTTTGGTGATAATGCTGCTTTCTTCAGAGGCTGCGTCGACGCCTTGAACGAGCCATTCGCGATTAGGCCGTCGGCGATATTCTCTTTGCCTGCTTGCGCCATGGTGGAGTCGCGATTTGGTGTGTGGTGGTGGTGTTCGGGATGACAGCACTCATGTAAACATGGAAGGCGCCAACCCAAACAATGGGGTATGAGGGCCCGTGCGCATTCGCCTGGTCTTGTGACAGCGCTCCCCGCGTCGTGCATGGCATTAAGAGCTGCACGTTCGCGGCCGTTTTTAATCTATTGTCTATTGCGAGTCTGCCTAAACGCCTCGCTCCTGTGTAGAAATCAACGCTCTCTAGACCTCAGAATATGTCCGCCTTCAACATTAGAACGGCACGTCCATATCCTCAACACTCTCCTCTTCCTTCTTTCCACCACCCTGCTGTTCGTGCAAAACTTCCTTGATAAACCCAATCAACGCATTAACACTAGCTTTCTGCGTGCTTGGTAGGAAGTGACCCCCAGGGTGATACACAACGTACTTCTCCTCGCTGTGCTCGCAAGCCTGGACCAATGCCAGACTGCGCGCCTCCTCAACCACGACGTCCTGCGTACCCAAGAAATGCAGCATCGGTGTCTTGATCTTAGGCTCATAGAACGCGTGATAAGGGTTCTTCCCACGCGCTGCGAAGCCACTATAGCTGACCGCAAACTTAAGCGGCGGATGTATTGTGCCCTCCATGTACCCGGTGTCCTCTTCGAAAGACTCCGGGAACCTCATACCGCCCTCAGGGTACAGCTTCTCGAATGCGGCGCGACGGCCTGGCTCGAGCAAACTCGCGACCATAGCTGCCGCTGCTCCACCTTGTGAGAATCCCACGACACCGTCAAAAGGACCTTGTTCTTTCAACACGCTTGCGATGCGCTCCAACCCTTGCTCCATGCCTTCGTATGTGTATGGTTCTCCTGTGCCCTTCCTTCTCCACCAAGCCCATGCGTCGATTTCCTGCTCCTCTCCGTCCTTTGCATCTTTGCCCTCTCCATCTTTACTTGTGTTTCCTGCTAGGAACGACTCGTCGGCGGGGGTTAAACGTATCGGCGCAGTAGGGTATACGAGTTCGATGCCTTTGGGGAAGGCTTTTTGTAGTGTCTTGCGCAGTGCGCCGGTCTTGGCTTGAAATAGTGATCCTGATTGCGTGTAGCCATGGAGCATCAACAGCTTTATCGGGCGATCTGGGGGCGGGGCGGCGGCCATGGTGCGCCAATGGGAGCGGACGCGGAAGTTGGCGAGTGTGTAAAGACGTGGGTCTGAGAGAGCGAGGAAGTGTTTGAAGCGCATGTACAAGATGCGCGGAATAGCAGAGCGCGGACTTGGCAAAGTAGCTCGTAGAAGTTGTGATGCTCGGGCTCGAAGTTTTGGGTGTTGCTTCGGAATGGTACCGATTCTCGGGATGCCGATTGCGTCATGGGCTAGCGGAAAACCACCTGGGCAAATACTCACGGCGCGAACACACTTTACAAGGTACGCAGGATAGACGCGGATTCCAGTGTTTGACTCTTTTTACACGATGGATTCACGATAATTGTAACTGTGTTAGAGGTGGAGGCTACATAGTCACGAGAGCAGTGAGGAGCGGCACGCTCCTTTTGTATAGACATTGGTACTCTTCCATACACTACTTTGTGTATCTAACGTGATATCTACACATACATCCTCAATCGAAGTGACTTGGAGAACGAGATGACCTGGGCACACTTTCTGTCCCGCTATCCTCCGCCGCGTTCATGTACTTCCGATACGGATTCGTGGATTTCGAAGTTCGTGAAGCCACCGACGACGGCGCTGCTGGCCTTCTTGACACCGCAGATCGAGGGACAAGGAATCTACTGACATCGCCAATCTCAGAATGATCGGCATCAGAACCTGCTGAGCTTGGGTTTCTTTTGTCTCGCGTCTCTGTGTCGGTGTCATCGCAGGCAGTGGAGTTCTCGCCCGAGTACACCGACGGTACGGAGTGCACTGATGGCGCATACGTAGCCGGGTAGGCACTTAAGGGTACCTCCGGATCCTTGTCGAAGTGCCACTGTAGCTGGCGGTGTAGTCGTCGATGGTTGTTTTCTCGCATCAGAAACGACCGTTCGATCAGAGTCTCGATATCATTCTACGGACCGTTAGCGTGAGCGTTGTACTGATAGTGAGCGAAATTCTTTACATATGTCAATCTGCCATCGAGAATATAGACTCCCGTGTCGTTGGTATGGAATTTGAAGCCCAGTTCGATCAGCGCATATTCTTCCACGAGGGCTTTCTGAATAGTGATCGATTCCTTGCCTGGTACGGTCTCAGAGGGAGAAAACTGCGGTTCGTAGTCGGGATCGAAGAAGTAGGTATGCACTGGTTGACTTCCTAAAAAGTGAGTTTGGCCCTTCTCTAGGCATTGTCAATACGATGATAAGTGACTTCGGGGACGGATCCTTACCTGATATGCGAGTGTAGGATGGTCTCCATCCAGCTTGCCTCATAGTGAGCAGAAGCTCACTTCCTAGATTGAGCGCAGACGCCTCCCAGAAGATGGTACTTCTCACAGACTGATCATTCATTTTGTCGTAGTCATACTGTACAAGCTGACTGGTGTGCAATTGATGCAGGTCTTCTGGATCTTCAAAATCAGATTCAATTCCAAATCTAGTCAACGATTTCTGTAGCTTGTGCATCCTCTGGGAGCGTCGGTCGGCTTTTGCAGGGAATATGATCACCTGCTGAGATTTCGAAGTACCGTCCGAAGTGCCTGTGCCACCAAATGAAGCACGCGAAGCATGCAATGAGGCTGTGGTGCTACGAAAGCTGTGGCGACGGGAACTTCTTTGGGGCCGGTCGTGATAGCTATTCCGACCGGGCCTCGTATCCAAGTGTGCGAAATTGTCTATGAATGAAGAAGAGGCCGATATCGAAAGTGGGGTTCGTTTGCTTGTCGCATATTCTGTTACATCCACGGTGCGATTGCCTTCCGCGATTTGGGTACGTCTTATAGCCCGATCGCTTTCATGCTCTGAGTTCAGCAGCTGCTCTCGTAGCCCTTGAAGTAGCTCTTCGTAACGCTGCAGTTGCAATTTGTGAAATTCATCCGTTCGTTCTTTTTCGGCCTTGAACATGGCATTAGCTCTTTTCCTCGCTTGTTTCTCGGTTTCTAGCTTCTCAGCATTGAGGGCTGTTTGAGCTGTTTCTTTGGCCATTTGCGCGGCCGCGATCTCTTTCGCTGCCAGATCCCTCACGCTTTGAGCTTGCTTTGCAGCTTCTGCTTCGATAGCCCTTCTTTCCATCTCCCACATAGATTCCATGCGCCTTTGCTCTGCCGATTGAGCTGCTATGAGACTTTCGAGTTGCTTCATTCTCTCCTCGTCTTTTTCATGAGCATCCTGCATCTGCTTCATGCGCGCCTCAGTTACCGCATTGGCTCGTTCTCGTTCGCTTTGAAGTTCGCGCTCTTGCAATACTCTCGCAAGTCTCGAGAACGGCGGGTCTTCATGCTCAATCCGAGGTTCCTGGGTGCGCGACTGAAGCAATGTTTCTACCCTTGCGAGAAGCGCATCTTCTCTTGCCTCGTTTTCAGACGTCTTATGTTGCATCTCCACAGGTGGATCAGGTATCGGTGGATCAGGCGACGGTGGAGCAGGCCTCGGTGGAGCAGGCCTCGGTGGAGCAGGCCTCGGTGGAGCAGGCATCTGTGGAGCAGGTATTGGAGATGGCGGAACAGGCGCGGCGACTTCTTGAGGACTCGGAGGAGATCGCGGATATGGCAAGTGTGAGTCGGATGCATATGCTTGTCTTGGTGGCACTTGGTAGTACTCGGGGGGTGGTTGCTCGTGTGAAGATCCCTGCCGTGGCGGAGGAGTGTGCCCGTAACTGACAGATGGCGGAACGTGACCACGCCTGAAAGGATTGGAAAACTCGGGTCTGATTCTCTCTCGGTAATGATCACTGTCGAAATAATCACGACTGGGCGCACTGTGAGCTGAATCCATCGAATCACTATGAATAGTGTGAACTCGAGATGAAGACCTCCTGCTGTCGGCCTCTAAGAACGGTGGTTTCACGGTAGTCATGGTGGGCCTTCTTTGTTTGGATCTGTTGCGGCGAGGACGGCTGGTAGACGATGTACCAAATGACACATGTGGCTCTCTAGTATCTTGCCTGGGGGCCTCTGGGGGTTTGCCGTAAACCGGTGACGACCCGTATGTATAGGCCCACGAATCAGAACGATCAGCGATATTTGCACTTCTCGTACGAGCTTTTTGGGTATTGCTGCGGAAGTTGTACGGGGGTGCATTGGTGTCGATCGTGCTAGCTTCGTTCGCACTCTGGAATGCTTCGTCATCTGACCCAACAGGAGCGTTCTCTTGTTCCCACTCACCAAAAGATGAGTTGTCGTCCTTCTCCGCCTCCGCCTCTGCCATGTTCAAGATGCTTTCCCTCCATTCATCATCTTCCGCACCCTCGGTGCCGTGATGACGAGTCGAGCTGAGGCCAATCTGACTAGATGAGAGCGTGGTCCACGAGGAGAGTAGTCTATCCGCTACTAAGCCTGGCTCGGTTTGTTTGCTCCATAAGATCAGGGCTTTGTCTTCAGGCTCCGAAGGTCGCCTCTTAGGTGGTATGGGAGCTTGGGAGGATTGTACATAACAGTTTTTCGTGTTCGTTTCGGCATTTTCATCGGCCACGAATGCTTGGTGAAGCTGAGGTGGTTGTGGTAACGGAGATGAGGGACTCGCTTCATCGGGGCTAAACACAAGATGATAAAGCCATGTCGCAGTATCGGAAGAGCCACTTTTCCATAGGTCTAGTTCTGCCGAGGTGTGATGTTGTGTGTCAGCTTCGAGTTTTTCATCTTCCTGTTGTGCGCTCTCTACAACGAGCCGGTTCGCCTGGACACTACTTTCCACGATCCTACGGAACCGGTTCAATCTTGGGGCGCCTTGGGGTTGACCGCTCGAGTCGGAGGTGGGATACCTAGTGATATGAGCGACTGCAGAGTCTACAAGACATCATCGATCAAGCTTACGACCGATTGACCTCTTCTTTAGCAAGTCGAACAATATTGATTTCTAGGATCAATGCC